CACTGAAGGCTTTTCACCTGGAGAGTAGCATGATTAAATCTACATTTAAAAGAGTAGTTCTTGACCTCTGATCCCACGGAGAATTAGGGTGCCCTCTCAGAATCAAGCAGTCAGTCTTCTTCCAATTTTAAAAAAAATTAAGGTGCCCTGGCTGGTTCGGCTCAGTGGTTAGAGCGTCAGCCCACAGACTGAAGGATCTTGGGTTTGATCCCGGTACAGGGCACGTATCTGGGTTGCAGGCGCAATCCCAGGCCCCAGGTCGGGGCACGTGTGGGAGGCAATCAATGTGTTTGTCTCACATTGTTGTTTCTCTCTCTCCCCACCCCCCTTCTGAAAAGTAACAGAAAAAATATCCTCAGGCGAGGATTTAAAAAAAATTAAAGAAAAAGTAAGGTTATTTGTTCAATTGATAGTTTTTCTCCTATGAAGTTTCCTTAAACCTCTGATGTCTGCTAGCAAGTGCCAGCTATTAATAAGCCACAAAAAAGATGTACGTTTAAAGAAATAGAAAAATTAATAAAATCTATTTAAATAAATGAGCTCTATTGAGCTATATACAGATACATTAATAGTACTTTCTGCTAATAAAATTATTTCTAATTCATAGACACAATATTTTATAGTGCTGCCTGAAGAGCACCCTACCTCCCAGGAGTCGGCTGTGGGGATACATTTGAAATGTTATAAAAGCAAACTCTGCTGTTACATAGGGGATGGGAATGGTTGGGGCAACCAGAAGCTGTGGGAGGGCAGTAGGTGGCTATTGCAGTGACCGGAACAGGAGGTAGCAGGAACCTGAACCAAGACAGTGGTAGTGGGTGGGGGGAAAAGGGAGAGAGATAAAAATATTTAGGAAGCAATTGAAAGAAGTCAGTGTCTGATTGGACCTGGACAGTGAAAGAGAAGGAGGCTTCTGGAGTGATTCCAACGTTTTTTGACTGGATGGCTGGGTAGCCAGGGGTGCTATTAATTAAACAGAGAAGGGCACGGTTGGGGTGTTGGAAGAAGGGATGCAGAGCTGTTTTTAATATGTTGAGGTTGACTTGAGAACTCCCAGATGGAGCAGTCCTGTTGGCAGAGGGAAATGCTCGATACAGGCAGGGCCTGGTGACATGGGTAATCTGGGGAAAATCATTTAACAGGGTCTGGGAAAGGATATCAAGAAGGCGTCCTCAAAGAGATAAGAAAGAATATCAAGAAAGTGCTGTAGTGTGAGAACCAAGAGAAGCATTTTGGTTTAGAGGGAGCAGTCAGCACCACTGATGTCCCAGAGAGACAAACCAGACCATAGCTTTACAGTGCTGTTGGCTTGATTGCTTTTATTAACTTATTGGTTTGAGGATAAGATAACAAGAGAGGTCTGAGGGTGGGGTGACTCTGGTACATAACATAAATGAGATTAGCAGGGTAATAGGGAGTAGTGGGGACTGTGGCAAATTAAAATGCATATGCCCAACAAAGGAAGGCAGCCATCGCTCAGCTCTAGTTCATTGTTGCCAAGCAAGAATGCTGGCACGATCATCAGAGCATCTAAATTTTCAAGAAAAGTTAGAAATAAGGATTTTTATATGAGATCTCACAGTTTTTTATGTTAGCAACAATTTCAAAAACTTTTATACTCTGTGAGGGCTGAATTAAACACATCTTTGAGCTGCCAATTTGAAATCTCTGTCTTAGTCAATGCCCTTAGTGTAGTGGAGCTGAACCAGTTATAACAGGTTGGGAACTGATTGGGTAAGGAGGAAGTGGGGACAGCAAGTGTAGACCATTTCTTCAAGAAGCTGGGGGAGCCCTGGCCGGTTTTCTAAGTGGTTAGAGCATCAATCTGTGGACTGAAGGGTCTTGGGTTCAATCCTGGTCAAGGGCACGTACCTTGGTTGCAGGCTTAACCCACGGCCCAAGCGCATATGAGAGGCAACCAATGGATGTGTCTCTCTCACATCAATGTTCTTCTCTTTCTCTCTCTCTCTCTCTCTCTCTCTCTCTCTCTCTCTCTCTCTCTCTCCCCCTTCCTCTCTATCTCAAATCAATAAATATATAAATTATATATGTGTGTGTGTATATATTTTTTTATTTTATTTTTAATTTTTAAAGAAACTGATGGAAAGGAAGGGAAAAAGAGACCAGGAGAGTTTGGAAGGCAGGCAGGACCAGGGGAGGGTGTTCTAAGGTAGGAAGAGCTATTTATAGGCTAGAGAAAGAGGGTGGAGGGAGAGAAATTGAAGCTCTAAGTAAGGAAAGGCTAGCTGATGAAGTAAGGATTCAGCAGAAGGGAATGGATGGGGTCAGAGATTAAATTAGAGGTAGGACTGCCTAACTGGTGTGACTCAGTGGTTGAGTGTCGACCTATGAACCAAGAGGTCACCAGTTCGATTCCTGGTCAGGGCACATGCCCAGGTTGTGGGCTTGATCTCCAGTAGGGGGCATGCAGGAGGAAGCCAATCAATGACTCTCATCATTGATGTTTTTATCTCTCCCTTCCTCTCTTTGAAATAAATAAAAACATATTTAAATAAGTTGGAGGTAGGACTCCTTTGTTCAAAGGTGGAGTGTAACAGTGGTTCAGAGGCAAGAAGTGATGGATTTTGTGCCTGGAGGCCTGTATTTTCTTGGTGAAGTCAGGTAGGAGATGGTTCAGGAGGCTTGAAATGAGAAGCAAAGGTTAGGAATGGCACTGAGGAATACTGGAAAGGTGCTGACAAGGATGCGTGGAAGGTGGCTGCACTTCTGAAACCTACTAGAGTGGAAACACTCCATTGGCATAGCTGGGTGGTTTTCTTCAGCAGGGCTCCAGAGCCTGGGTGCTGGATTGGTGGTGAAAGGGATTAGCACCTGCTGCATTCCCGGCCCTGTGTCATGTGTCTTACTCTCCTCATCTGATTTATTCCTCTCAGCAACTCTGTTCACTCAGATTTCACTCATGATTAAGTGGCAACTCTGAGGTTCACACCCATGGCTACCTGGATTGAAAGCACCCTGCCTCTACTATACCACTGTACCCCACTGCCTCTCCCTGTACCCCCAGGACACACCTGCAGAGATGAAGACTGGGCCAGTGAATTCTTGTCTGGGCATTTGCTGGCTGATTCTATTGGGAAGTCAAGGAGTAAGAGAATGGAAGGTGTGAAGAAAGAGTTGTTGAAATTATTGACCATTGGGAGTTCATGAAGAAATAAGTGTGCGCCAAAGGGAACTGAGGGGATGGAGGAGGTTTATAGGAAGGGAAGCCTTGGTGAAGCCCAGGAGACAGTCAGTGAGGTATTGAACTAGGGCAGAGACAGTGGAATCGATGAGGAGGGAATGTATTCTTGAAAACTTTCAGTATGTGAGTGGAGGTGAGAGAAAGAGGTGAGGTGAGGATGAGTCCCGGGTGTCTGGCCTGTGCAGTTGGGTGGACAGTTTTGCCTTTAACCAAGGCATTCAACTTCATGTCATTGTCTCTCTTGCACACCATGCTCTAGACACACTGACCACCACATTCCCACCTCTGGGTCTTGGAAACACTCTTCTTCCAGATATGCACAGCGACTCCTCCCATCTTTCACATCACAGTTCAAATACCCTCTCCTCAGAGAGGCCTTTCTTGACCATGCCCTCTAATGTAGCTCCCTGGTCACTTAATTTTCTTTCAGAACACTTATCACTACCTGAAATAATCATTTATGGATTTGTTTATTTGTTTATTGTCTGTCTCTGCCACTAGAACAGATGTTTAAGAGAGCAAGGACATGCGGGCTTTCTTCACAGCTGTTTCCAACACCTAGAACAATGCCTGGCATGTGGTACACGTTCATTAAATATTGAGAGAGCCCGGCCAGCGTGGCTCAGCACTTGAGCATCGACCTATGATCCAGGAAATCGTTGTTCGATTCCTGGTCAGGGCACATGCCCAGGTTTCAGGCATGATCCCCAGCTGGGGAGAGGGGGGACATGCAGGAGGCAGCCCATCAATGACTCTCTCATCATTGATGTTTCTCTCTCCCTCTCCCTTCCTCTCTTTGAAATCAATAAAAATATATTTTTTAAAAATATTGAGAGGAAGGAAGGAAGGAAGGAAGGAAGGAAGGAAGGAAGGAAGGAAGGAAGGAAGGAGTCTCTGAGGACTGAGGCAGCTGAGAATATCTTGGAAGACCTCAGGGAAGAGGCAACACGTAATCAGGACATTGAATGACACCCAGGAGCCCACCAAGCAGAAAGAAGCACAGCATATGCAAAGGCCCTGAGGTATGATAGAGCAGGAGCCTCCAAAGGCTTTGATATTGGTGGAGCCCAAGGGTGAGAACAAGAGTAGAAGGAGATGAGCCTGGACGTGGGAGCAGGGGTAGGTCAGCCATGGATCACTGGGAGATTTTAACAATATCTTGTAGAGTGGGATGAACTGAAGCTCTCCTGTCCCGTTTCAGGGAGAAAATTGAGGATCAGAGGAAAGCTAGTAGGGATTCATTCACAGANGAATGTCAACTTTTGAGGTGCTAGAGACACATCTGGGAGGTGACGGTCGTGGGCAGTCGGAAAGCAGACCAGGAGCTCAGGGACAGGCTGTCATCCTGCCCATGGAGAAAGTCGGCCCAAGTGGCTCACTGGTGCAAACACCTTGTTTCACCCGGCTGATGGCCCTTCAAGGCCAATGCTGGGAGTTGACCGGCTTGGGGCCCAGTGGGAAAGGGATCCCTCTGGGTTTGTTATGCTGAAGTTGGGTCACAGTTTTTCTCGCTTCGCTTTTCCATTCGGTTCCCTGTCCTTGTTGCTGCCCTGGTTTTGGACATTTTCCACCCTTCATTGTCCCTACAAGACCCTGGATTTTGAATGCAGATGAAATCCTTTCATCTCTGTTCTTCCCAAGAATATCTCACCCACGTGCAACCTAGAAGCGGGACTTAGTTTTACTGAACTGGGAAACACATTTCCCTCCCACTTGGGTCCTGCTCCATTTCCACTGGCCTCGCAGCCCCCTGTCTCCCCCAGGGCACTCAGTGGACCCCGCTGTCCTTCACTTGCAGGGTCTCCAGCTGCTGAGCAGCTCCAGGACATCCTGGGGGAGGAAGATGAGACTCCCAACCCCACCCTCTTCACAGAGATGGACACTCTACAGCACGACGGAGACCAGATGGAGTGGAAGGAGTCAGCCAGGTGAGGCGCAGCCCAGGTGGGAGGGAGAGGGGGGCTTCCCACTGCGGTCTGCCAGGGCCCAGGCTGAGCTGGCTCTCCTGGTGGGAGGACCACCGACCAGTGGCCTCACAACCTGAGTTCTGAAGGGCACTTCTCGGCCCCTTAAGACCTTCCTATCTGCCTTCCTTGGTATCCAGAACTGGGCTAGACGCTGAGGAGTAAACAGAAACTTATGACTTTGTCTTTATCCTCAAAGAAATGAAAATCCAAGTGGAAAGATAGACCAGACACCCATGAGACCATGAGGAAATAATACAAAGGCATATATTCTTTTGTGTCAAATGGTTCAAACTAAATGCTATAGGAGAAGGGAAAGTACCAAGCAGGCTGGGGTAGATAGGAGGGAGCGAATGTGTGCCAGAAAGAATGCGGGTGGTGTTGGGGCAGGACAAGCGGCGTGCAGCTTGTGTGGGCCGCAGAGAGCTGTGGCTATGGGGCAGTAGAAGGAACAGAGGAGCCAGAAGGCTGGAGCAGGGAACCTCGTGGTGAAGTCACGGGGGCCAAGGGAGGATTGGGGTAAGTAGTGCTGGCCATACCCCGGGGACTGAGTGACCTCTGAACTGGACTGGTCAGCAGGCCCAAATGCTACCAAGAGCCCAAGGAGAAGGAAGGATATGGTAGGAGGCAGCTGGAAGGGCTGGTGAGAGGGGGAGGGACCCTGGGAAGGGAGCTGAGAGGGTCTGGAAGACAGAGCATGCCAATGTTTCTCAACCTTTTTTTTTTATTAGCATCCCCCACCCCAAGGACATTTTAACTTAAGCTAACTTTATTAAATTAGAATTTACTTTACTTTATTTCTACCAAATTTCACCCTTTGGGGGCTGATACTGCCCTGGTTGAAAACGCATGAACCACCTGTGCCCAGGACTGGCTCCGCCTGGGGGCCACCATGATGCCCAGAGCCTGACAGCTGCCCCCAGCCATGACCTGGGTCCTTCTCTCCCCCACCAACCTCATTCACCTGGGTCGTTAGTTGCTCTTCAGAGCAAAGAGGAGCTGGTTTTGACATCCCCAAGCTCCAATCTCTCTGGAAGAAAGGCTGTCGGGAAGACTAGCAAGTCCTTGCAGGACTCGGGGAAGGAATAAATTCCTAGCCTCATGGCTGGGCCCAGTCTCCGTCTGGATGCCACTGAGCCTCTTCTCATTAGCCCATTCAGTGAGCCCTTACTAGGTGCTAAGCAATTCATAGGCTCCTCTCATTCAAGCTGCACAAGGACGCTGAGAAGGAGGGAACCATTATTATCCCCATTTTACAGATGAAGATACTGAGGTGCAGAGGGGCAAATAGCTTGCAAGGGTCAGAGCATGCAGGTAGCTGAGTGTGGATTCCAGCCCAGGCCCGTCTGACTTCCCAGCCTGAGGACTTACGCACTTTGTCAGGCTCTCCTCATTTTGTCAGTCATCTCTCTCTCCTTCCTCCAAGTTCCAGGGACTCTTGATTTCCATGAGAGGACATAACGCTGGAGATGGTTCCACCGAGGTGGGGACAGCCACAGAGCCTGGGGCATCTATCCAGGGCTGACAAAAAAGGGGAGGACATTTTAAATGACCAGGGCCTAGCCTGGGCTATTGTGGCTTAATGCCTCTGAGGGGCTAGTGCCTCCCTGAGCAAGTGACTTTCTTGTCCAAGGGGACAACTAGAGAGAAGGAAAGTTGAGAATGGCCTTCTCAGAGGCCCAGTAGGGAGAGGGGGCCTTCTCCCCACTGTGGGCAAGGTCTGCATCCAGAACCCCTAGGAGGGGAAGCCATGGGAGGAGAGGAGCGCAGGGCCTCCCTACTAGGAGTCTCCTTTCTCTGTCCCAGCCTCCTTTAATCTCTCCAGCTGTCGCCATCTGGTTTCCAGCTAACTGTTGGAGGTTTGACCAGGAGGCCTCTACAGAGGTCAGAGGAAGGGTTTGCCCACTGACCCACAAGTCCACCTTGGCCGAGACAGTCATGCTGGGATTCCTTCAGGCAAACTGGAACGGTAGAGGTGCTTGAGGCCAGGCTTGTTTGAGATCTGTCACCTCTCACAAAAGAATGGGAAGCATTTTCCTCAGCTGACAGGCTGTAGAATCTCCTCAGGGAAGTGAGAGGTCTCAGAAGTTTCCTGAATTACAAAATTAGTCAATTGTAGTGGGTTCTGGGCTTCCTTGGAATAATAGGAGAAAGTGGTGGGGAGTGGGACCAACGCCTTACACAGACACTCAGGCCCTGGGAGGGTCTATACCCACCTCAAAGAGGATGGGGGAGGGGGCCCTTTAATAAAAATATTTAATTTGCTGCAGGAGTGTTTGCTTTATTGCGTTAGGAGATTAACAGAGTGAAAATCTCCAATCCGCAAGGAATTTTCCCCGGCAGTGCTGGGTCGGGGGTTATTAGTTTGGGGGATGTTTCAGGCCCTTGGAGAAGGAGTCGCCCGTGGATGGATTTAAATGGCTTTTTGAGCTCCTCTGAGCCTTGCCCCTCTGAGCATAATGGGGACTGTGTGTAGGCGTCATTTAGAAAGTGATCAATGCTGGTAGGTCAGGCTGTTCATGAGATAGATTTTTGTTAACTCTGTCTCTTTAGCTCTCCCGGGAGGGAAATGCAGTGGCTGCTGGTCCTGACCTTGCCTGGAGGGAGGGCTGTGCCAGGTGGGGGGTGGGCGACCCTTCACTGCCAGCAAACAATTCACTGAGGATTCCTCCCAAACCCCTGCGGGTACAAGGGAAGGAGAATGACCTGAGCTGGAACCGTCCAAAAGTGGAGGGCTCTTTGGGGTTACGCAAAAACACCCAGGGCCTAGAGCCTCCCAAGAGCTCTGAAAGCAAATTTCAAATCCAAGCTGCCTCTAGTTTCAATTCAGAGAGGACCAAAGGTATGAACTTGCCAGAAAGTTCTTATGAGACACACATGCTCTGAGAACATATGTGACCAGAAAAGAACAGAAAGGGAGAGGGGAGAAGGGGGTCGGCTTAGTTGGGTCAAACCAGCTCGGGGCATTTTCAAAAGCCCTGAACGGTTCTCGGTGTGCAGGTGGGGGTGCTGTCACTGCGCATGGACAAGAAAGCCTGAACTTTGTCGTCTCAATCCTAAACTGCTCCTGCTCAAGCTCTTGTAGGTTACCCTCCTGGTATCACTTATGCTCGTGGCCTGTGACAGGATGCACCCTGGCCCTCTGCTCTCACCACTCGCCTGGAGTCGCCCTTTTGAGACCAGAGCTGACCACTCCATGCGTAAAGCAGGGTAGGAAGCTGAGAGCTCTTAGCACAGAAGTCCACAAACCTCACCCATTCATTTAACTAATATTTACTAAGGGTTTCCTACCTGTAAGCCCTGAGCCAGATGCTGGAGATACACAAATAAACACAGCAGATGCCATCCCTGCTCTCAGTCTAACGAGGCACAGAAGTGAACAGCCGGGCGTTTGGTGATGGGGCTGCTCTGAAAGCACAGCACAGTGGCACCTAGCCAGACAAGAGGGTCAAGGAAGGTGTCCAGGAGGAAGAGGTGCTCACACTGAGACCTGAAGGCTGGGTCAAGGTGAGCCAGGAGAGGGGATGGGAGGGGAGGAGGCCCTGGAGCAGGGGAAGCAGGCACACAGAGGGAGGGGCAGAAGTTTCCTGTGGTTGGACTGTAGAGCAGGGGTCTGGGGGTGGCAGTGGCAGGTCCTGTGCAGGCCATGTTGTGGAGTTTGAACTTGATTCTGAGGCTTCAGAGGACCACTGAGGGGTTTGGGGAGGAAAGGGACAGGATTGTTTGTTTGAAAGAGGTCACTCAGGCGAGACAGGGCCGGTTGGAAGGCTGGTCAGGTGAGAGATGATAAAATCCTGAACCAAGATGTTGGCAGTGGGACTAAAGAAAAGGGGTGGATTGTAGACATATTTTTTGAGCATATAATTTAATATTACATATATATATACACACACACACATATATACACACATATATATACATATATATATCCTTTTAAATACTTTCTTTTTAGAGCAGTTTTAGCAGCAAAATTGAGCAGAAGGTACAGATTTCCCATATGCCTCCCAGCCCTGCCCATGCGTAGTGTCCCCCACTAACATCCTCCTTGAGGGGGGCACATTTGTTACTACTGGCGAACCTACATTGACACATCCTTATCACCCAAAGTCCACAGCCTCCATCAGGGCTGCTCTTGGTGTTGTGCCTTCTATGGGTTGGGACATATGTATCTACCATTATAGATCACACAGAGTAGCCTCGCTGCCCTAAAAGCTCCTGTGCTCTGCCTATTCGTTCCTCTCTCCTTCCTAATCCTTAATCTTTTTCACTGAATTTGAGACGTGTCTTAACAGGTAGAACTGACAGGATTTCATGGCATATGGCTTGTGGGGGAGAAGGAGAGTCAGGGAGATACCAGGTTTCGAGTTTGAGCAAGTGGGTAACTCATGGTAGCAATTTAGGAAGCTCAAGAGCAGCAGTAAGGTTTTGTAGTGTTGGGAATTTTGCTTTGTTTGGGGGGAGGTTGATGATGGATTCCATTTTGGACATGTTATGTTTGGGGACACTCCAAGTGGAGATGTCTAGCAGGTCGCCGTGTAGACATAGAGGTCTGGAGTTCAGCACCTAGGGAGTATCTGATGGTTCCTCAGACAACTCTAGGAAAATTCTTCATTGACCCACAAGAGAATTCACACTGACCTTTGGTTTCTGCTGAAAAATTCAGGTCCCTGATAGGACTCAATGGGAAGCTAAATAGCTTTGCTAGATAATGGGGGGAAATGCACATTCATATTACTTTTAAGAAATGAATCTGAGTCACAAAATTTATTACCAATAGGCCTTAAGCAGAAAGCGAAAACACCATGTCGTGCGTGACACTTTGTAATACATGGGTGTCAACTCCTAGGGTGATGGGCGATGGAGTGGGGATGCGAGAGTTACAGAATAAAGTCAGTGAGGCCTCATAGATAAAAAAAATCAGTACAGTGGGAGTGTACTTCACAAATCTTAGGTGAGCAAACTTA